TGACTCTACTATGAGTAACTAAAATAATTGTGTAATTGCCCTTGTTGTAACCGTGAGTATAGCCCCTGATGCTACAAACCAAACTGATGCTTCTCCTTATGATAATTCTGGTCCCCAAGTGCATAATGATGAAAATTTTGAATCTTCTCTAATTACCAGTGACGGGAAACTTTCCTCAATAATGGAAGGCTCTGTACAACCCATGGTGGCTACCTGTAAAAAGGTTTTAATTGTTTTATTATTAGTTCATGGGTATGTGGGACGTAAGATATTTCATAATTGAAGTTTTTGTATTGGAGAAGATGGTCTCAGGTCATCCATGAATCTGGTGGAATCTTTATGTTAGAAGTATGATATCAAACATATGTTGAAACTTCATGTTGTAATCACTGTAAAGTTTTTTATCTGTTACAGGTGCAATTGTCTTTCTTAGCTCCTTTTGTTGGTTTTCTGAATGTGTTAATTTGGCATTAATGATGTTGTTTAGTACCTTGTTGGCTGGATACAGAGTATTGAATAAGTAAAGTTGTAGTTAATGAATGCTATCTTATGTATCTTGATTTTATTTTTTCCAGATATTAAAAAACCACCAACAAGTAGGAGGCATTATGGTCATGTTAAAGATCAATTTATTTAGTCATAGGTGGAGCTTAAAGCAATGGGAGGATCTCAAATTAGTTAATTATATATTTAGTTGAGTTTGTGTGGGAATGTGTATGACACTTGAATTGTAAATGATAATTTTTTTTTCAATATTGAAGCGCCTTTTAATTGTAAATTAGAGTTATCACTTAGAGATTATTCAAACCAAAAGAAAAAACCAAAACATATTCCTTATCATAGCAACAGAAAAGAATAACTAGAAAAATCAATCGTAGGATTGATTTAATCCAAAAAAAACATTAACCAGCGGCACTCCAAAAAAACAAACAACAACATTAGAGAACAGAGGCAAAAAGAAAATCCTGATTGTAATTCTGATTTTCTTCTGACTGACTCCATTAGTGGAATGAGTAATTGCAGATTCGCAGAATGCCAAATAAAGCAAATAACAAAAAAACAGTAACCAAAAAATCTTATCAATCGGCATATATAATTTACAACTATTTTTATGCACCTCATTCCGATTGTTAATCTTAAGTGCGATTGAGAGAAAGATCAAAATATCCGATCATCAAGTACCGATTCGACGAATACAGCGGGAACGAACAGCATAAATACAAAATCGCATTAAGATTCGACAAAAATACTCCAAATAGTTCAATATGAAGGAGGCTCTGATACCAATTGTTAGAAAAAATCCATAAATACTTTAATCTTCATATTGGAATTATCTGGAGAATTAATTGAGCGGAAGCGTACCTGACTCCATGGGAGATGATCTTGAGGGATCCGGGAGACGGAGGCTAGGCTTTGCGTCTTCGAGCTGATACACGCCCTCAGGAATTATCTCTCTCGATGGGATGCAGAAAGACGGAATGACGTGTTCAACTAGGGACCATAACCCCTTATTTATAGAGATTGCTTAACCCTAATCAGCCCATCATTGATTAGGTCAAGCCCATGGGTCTCTACACATTTGGGCTCTATACCTTATCAGATAACTTATTAGCTCACTTAAATTAATATCCATAGGACCACTAATTTTTGGGCCTAAATATAAGATAGCATATGACATACAATTAAACCCGATAAATAATATATTGTGAATATTACATGTAGTATGAGTCCAATAATATAACAATCTCCCACTTGGACGACATACACATGTATACACAATTCTTAGAATTGTATGTTTACTTTAGGAGCTCCAAAATTTTGTTATCAAACTGTAGTCATCTTTAATCAATCCGGTCCATTAATTATATCAACATAGGACCAAAGAAGTCTTTGCTATATTTGAATAACTAGACCCATCAATGATCACATATATTAATGTAATAAACGACATGGATCAAGTATAGGTGTGTAGCGTGGAAATAACATAAAGTGTGGTCTGGAATAGAATGTCTATTTCCAACTGGTCCACCTTGAGATCAATAATATAACTGTAAGAGTACATAAAACTTTAAACTTTATTTCTGCAGAAAATAACCTTAAAAACTTGAATTAACCAAATATAGAAACATTACAAACTCCCACTAAAACTCATAATCCTCAACTGATTTGACACCCATTTGAGCAACATGCTCATGAAACACTTTGGGTGGTAATCCTTTAGTAAGCGGATCCGCAATCATGGAGTTTGTGCTAATGTGTTCTATAGACAACTTTCCTTCTTGTACTCGTTCTTTAACAGCTTTAAATTTGACCCCAATGTGTTTTGCCTTGGTCAAACTACTGTTGTTCTTAGCATAAAGGACAGCTGATCTATTGTCACACAATAGCTTAAGTGGTCTTTCAATGTTGTCCACTATGCGTAGTCCACTAACAAAATCTCGCAGCCATAATGCCTGATTGGATGCCTCATAACCTGCTATAAACTCTGCTTCCATGGTGGAAGTAGCTGTAAAAGTCTGCTTGATACTCCTCCGGGAGATAGCTCCTCCAGCTAGAATATAGATATAGCCTGAAGTGGATCTCAAGCTATCTTGACATCCAGCAAAATCAGAGTCGGTATACCCAATGATCTCAAGTTGATCCGATCTCCGATATGTGAGCATATATTCCTTTGTTCTCTGTAAATAGTTAAATACCGCATGACCCTTTTGGCTGCTTTCCAATGGTCCATTCCCGGATTGCTCAAATATCTGCCTAACATCCCAACAATGTATGCCAAATCATGTCTTGTACAAACCTGGGCATACATCAAACTTCCTACAACCGAAGCATAAGGAATGTTTCTCATTTCTTTAGATTCAAAACCATTCTTAGGGCACTGCATGAGACTAAACTTGTCTCCCTTAGAAACTGGGGTATCTCCTGATTTGCAGTCTTGCATACCAAACCTTTTGAGAACCTTATCGATATAGCTCTTTTGTGAGAGTCCAAGAACGCCATTGGAGCGATCTCGGTGTATTTGAATTCCTAATACAAAAGAAGCCCCACCAAGATCTTTCATTTCAAAATTCTTTGAAAGAAATCTCTTAGTTTCGTGCAATAAGCCTATATCGTTACTAGCAAGCAGTATGTCATCAACATACAAGACCAGGAAAATATGATTACTCCCACTGAACTTGTGGTATATACAATCATCACTGACGTTTGGTTGAAAACCAAAAGATATAATGACTTTATGAAACTTGTGATACCACTGACGAGAAGCCTGTTTGAGCCCATAGATGGATTTCTTAAGTTTGCAAACCACTTTCTTTGAATCTCCCGAAACAAAGTTTTTCTAGTTGCTCCATATAGATCGATTTCTCAATGTCACCATTGAGAAATGTAGTTTCTACATCCATCTGATGAAGCTCTAGATCAAAATGTGCCATTAATGCCATTATTGTTCTAAAAGAGTCTTTCGAGGATACCGGAGAGAAAGTCTCTTTATAGTCAATTCCTTTCTTTTGAGTGTAGTCTTTAGCAACAAGACGAGCTTTAAACCTTGTAACATTGTCCTTTGAATCCCTCTTGATTTTAAATATCCATTTACAACCAATGAGTTTAATATCTTCAGGCAATGAGACTAACTCCCAAACGCCATTGTCACTCATAGACTTCATCTCATCTTTCATGGCATTAATCCATTCTTGAGAGTTAGAACTTTCCATGGCTTGACGAAAGTTGATTGGATCATCTTCCGCAAAACCAACATCCGATTCTTGTTCTTGGAGGAAGACAATTATTTCTTCCACCAATTCCGAATTTTCCTCATGTTCTTGGAGAAATACAATATAATCATCCGGAATTGCGCTTCTCCTCTCTCGAGTGGATCTCCTTAATGGCATCTCAGGTTCTTGAGGTTGTTGAGTTTGATCCTCATTAACAAATTCAGGTACTTGATTGGGGATGTTTTCGAGATTGTCATGAACTGGAATTGTTTCTTGAACATCATTAGGAATAAAAATATCTTGATCGTGTTCAATGACAACTGAAGGAAGAGTAACATGTTCTTCCTCAAAGACAAAATCTCTAACCTTATCTCCCCACCCCCAAACTCAATATCCTCAAAGAATCGGGCATTACCCGTCTCAAAAATAGTCCTGGTAGTGGGATCATAAAACTTATACCCCCTTGACCTCTCAGAGTATCCTACAAAATAGCTACTAACCGTTCTTGAGTCCGGTTTCTTTTCATTTGGCCTATAAGGCCTTGCCTCAGCTGGACAACCCCAAACATGGAAATGATTTATACTGGGTTTCTTTCCAATCCAAATTTCATAAGGGGTTTTAGTTGTAGCTTTAATGGGAACTCTGTTGAGTATGTAAGCTGCAGTTTTCAGTGCCTCTCCCTAGAGTAAATCTGGTAAAGTAGTATGACAAATTATACTTCTAACCATGTCCTTCAATGTACGGTTTCGTCTCTCAGCAACACCATTCATGCTAGGAGTTCCTGGCATGGTGTACTGAGGAACAATTCCACACTCCTCTAGGAATTTAGCTAATGGCCCTGGACGTTGTTCACCGGAACCATCATATCTACCATAGTATTCACCACCACGGTCAGATCTAACAGTTTTTATTCTTTTGCCTAATTGATTTTCAACTTCAGCCTTATAATATTTGAACACATCTATTGATTGGAACTTTTCATGAATGAGATAAAGGTAACCATAACGAGAGTAATCATCTATGAATGTGATAAAATATGTTTGACCATTTCTACATGGTGTAGGGAATGGTCACAAGTGTGTGTATATATCAATTCTAATAGATCTGAAGCTCTCTCAGCACCTAATCTCCGTTTGTTCGTTTGTTTTACCTTAACGCACTCAACACAAATATCAGAATTTGAGGAGTCAAGAGAATCAAGAATTCCATCTGACACAAGTCTCTGAATTCTTTCTTTAGAAATATGTCCTAGACGCTTGTGCCAAAGTGAAAACGAATTCTCATTGGTTAATTTTCTTTTAGTACCACGAGTACTTACATGCAAGGTTTCATTATATGAGGTATTTATGTCAAGTGAATATAGATTATCATAAACTGATAAAAGATCAGTACCAATAAGTTTTGAATCTTGAAATAGACTGAACTGACTATTTCCAAATGAATAAGAATAACCAAATTTGTCCAATGCAGAAATAGAAATTAAATTCCGCCTAAATGACGGCACAACAAATGTCTCTTTCAAATCCAAATAAAAACCAGTCTTTAATAATAATCTAAAAACACCGATAGCCTCAACTTCAACCTGCTTGCCATCACCGACATAGATGTATCTTTCACCATTAATTGGTTTTCGGCAGCTCAGGCAACCCTACATAGATACACTTATGTCAGTAGTAGCATCGGAATCTACCCACCAAGTGTCTTTTGGTACCGAAATTAAATTAACCTCAGAACAAACAAGAGCAAGAGACATACCCTTTTTCGCACGCCAAGCGTGGTAATAGTGCAGTTCTTTTTCTTGTGATTAGTCCCTTTGCAAAAGTAGCATCCAGATTCCTTAGTTTCCTTATGATGCTTCATGGGAGGCCCTGAATTTGCAGCTTCCTTAATTTTCCTTTTCGTGCTGCCCTTAGAGGTAAATGCCAAATGAGCACTTTCTGTATTATCTTGCTTTATTCTCTCTTCCTCTTGAACACAATGAGAAATGATCTCATTGAGAGACCATTTCTCCTTAATGCAGTTGTAACTGACTTTAAATTGATTAAATTGAGAAGGAAGAGAGATCAAAACTAAATACACAAGCAATTCCTCAGGTAAAACAAGCTTTAGTGCACTTAGTTTTGAAGCAATGTGAGACATTTCCAAAATGTACTCCCTTATGTTTCCTTTGCCTTTATACTTCATGGAAACAAGAGTGCTCAAAAGAGTACTAGTTTCCGCCTTTTTGTTTTTAGCAAAACGCTTTTCAAGTTCGGCAAGGAACGATTTGGCATCAGCCTCATCAGACATTGTGCCCCTGAATGATTCTTGAATTGCACGTTTCATGATCATTAGACTCATGCGATTTGAGCGTTCCCACCTCTCCATCTCTCTCTTTTCATCAAGGGTAGATGTGTCCTTAAGAGCGGCGGGTTTCTCGGTCCGAAGTGCAAGGTCTAGATCCATGCAACCGAGAACAATCATAACGTTCTTTCCATTCCTTAAAATTCGTGCCGTTAAGCACTGGGATGCTATTAATATCCATAAGACCACTAATTTTGAGCCTAAATATAAGATAGCTTATAACATACAATTAAACCCGATAAATAATATATTGTGAATATTACATGTAGTATAAATCCAATAATCTAACAGTTATAAGGTCATTACCTTAATCCACCACACCTTTCCTTCCTTTTTCTTCCTTAAACTTCCTTCTTGGACCTTCTTGAGCTTGAGTTATGTTCTTGGCTATGGAGGGAATATTTTGCAGAGGTTTTCTTCTTGTCTTTGGAAGCCTTGGCCGAATTGATTGGGTGCAAGAGGTACGGAGAGCCCCTCTTTGTCTTACTTGACAATAATGAGAGGGAGTGAGGTCCATACCTCAATTGGTGTCAATCCCTTCAACTCAGCCCACACCTCAACATGTTGTGTAGTCAATTCATTTCTATATTGAGACTAAAAAACGTGGGGTGGCCCACTCATGTGGGAGGTCATCCCAATATGTCCCGAACTGTGCATTCGATCACGAAAGTTGTATTTATCGGACTGTTTTAATTATATTTAATTTTATCGGGTCAAATAAAATATAACTCATGTTCCAACTCTCTATGGGCCTTTAGAATGAATATACATTCTCCAACTTCAATTTAGCAGTCCTCGGAATTTATCTCGGGCTTTTACCTGACGAAATATCGATACTGGTATATGGGCCCTACTTGACCAACCGGTCAACTATATGCCTTTTCTATGGCCCAACTAGAGCATCCACCACGATAAACATATTATCTAGATCAAGATGAATATAATATGTGGTCCCGGAAATATCGGGTGGTCCCTGCTCCTGTTGTGGGCCCCACGTGCAATTTACTATTCACACTAAATAAATACTCCCTCTGCCCCCATATAATTGTCTCATTTTTCCATTTTTGAATGTCCTCTTATTATTGTCACATACCATATTTGGTAACATTTGTGTGGCTCTAATTCATTTTTACTTTATTACCACTTTATCAACTCATTACCAACAACATAATTCTACTTTTCTTAAAAACCACACCACTCCCCTCCGTCCCAATATTAGGGGGCGGAGGGAACAATAAAAATTTACAACCTCATAAATTTATTCACTATTTCTCAATGTTCAATACATAGTTTACATAAAAGTAAATATTCTTGGGGATGCTCTTACACATAAAATGATTTGGTGAAAAATTATTTGAAAACTTATGAGTCACTTTTTGATAGACCAAATTACCAAATTGGTAAAAAAAGATGGTGATTTACCAAATTGGTAAATAAACCACGTGAGACATATTGGTAAAAAAAGAAGCCCTCGTGACTGATTGGCCATTCTTTTTGAGTGCGACACTTTTAGTCTTCAACTTTAGAATTTTCGACATTTTATATTCTAAACCCTAACAATACATAAATGTTTCGAATTGAAATTTTATTCAAATTGTTGACCAAAAAATCCTAATGATGATTAAAATTTCATGTGTAGAGTCACCCTATGGTGACCATATGAACAAAATAAGGTGAAGAAGACATTTACGCATACAATTTTGGCTACCAAATGTAATTTTTTGATCAGAAATTTGAATAAAATATCAATTTGAAACATTAATATATAGTTAAAGTATCATTTTGATTCATTTAAGAGTTAAGGTATAAAAATGTACCATTTATGTATGGAACCTTTATGGGAAATTTTCACAAATAGACTAAACATGAAAGTAATATCACTTTTATTCCCCTTACAACTTTCTTTCAAATATAGATTATCTTAAAGTTTCTTTTCAAAAATGGACCATTGACACGTATGAAGCCCATAGATTAAAGTTTCTTTTTAAAGTTTCTTTTCTTTCACCTAACATGTAAATCCTCTTGCATGTAAATTTGAATCACTACTCCACTTCACAAAAACTAATAAGAATAGTACATATAACGTGCAGGCACTTCTCAAAAAATAATAAATATTCATTAACTCATATGGTTCATAATGTTTAGAAAAAAATAAAAATTAGAAAAATGAAATTGAATTTTAAAAACATATAAAAAAACTCAAAATAAAAAGTAAAACTCAAAAAAAATGCAAAATTGGAAAATTGTAAATTAAATTTAAAAATTAAAGAAAATGAATTTAAATTTTACAAAAAAAGTTATGAATATAAAAAACATGTCAAAACATTTAAAAAACTTGAGAAGTATATTTTAATGTAGCGTTTTAAAATAGATAGTATATTTTATTTATAAAATATAAAAATAAAAAATTTTATAAAAAATGTAAAATGGTTACAAAAATCGATAATCTTAAAATTATCAAAAATAAATAATATAAGATAAAAACATTTTGAAAGTATTAAATAATACACAGTATTAATTCTATTATTTGAGAACGTTCTAAAAGGCTCTGAAATAAATATATGATATTTTAAAACAATAGAAAAATCAAATTAAAATGTAAACAAGGTTCTTAGAATTAAAAACACTAAATTACAAATTGTTTAAATATTGAAAATCGAAAATACAAGTCAAAAAAATAACAAAAATGAAAAATTAAAAAAACTAAAACTTGCAATAATGAACTTATACACTTTAGATATTATTATTATGATCAATTAATTGTTACTTTTGTTGCATATTGTTTCTTTGTGTTTTTTATTGTTTCTTCCTGTTTCTTTTTGTTTATTTATGAGTCCAAATTTACCATCTTAGGTGTTTATATGTGTGTATGTGTGTGATTTTTTATTCCAAATAAGTAAGGAATATAAATATAAATATAAATAGATAAAAAAATCAAAATCAATATGCAACATTATGTAACAAAAAACAACAGGTATAATAAAAAGCAACAAGATGCAATCAAAAGCAACAAAAAGGAACACGATGCATAAATCCAAAAGAGAAATTTTTGTTTTTTATTGTTTATTTATGTTTCCTGTCATCGGTTTATATTCATAAATCCAAAGTTATCATTTCTGAGTTTTTCTTACTTCAAAGAAGTAGCAAAAATAAATAAAAACCTAAATAAACAACAAAAAACAAGATCAACATTAAAAAAAATAAGTAACACAATGCAACAAAATGCAACACCGTGCAACAGAAAACAACAGAAGGCAACAAAAAGCAACACATTCAATGCAACAAAGAGAAACAAAAAATACATAAAAGTATCACATCAATTGTGTAATTCAATCTAGCATTTCAATTTATTACATATATATGTATCTATCATATAATTTGGCTTTCCTTCATATCACTTCTTTTTATGCATCTTAACACACAATTTTTCAAGGTTGAATATCTTGTCTTCACTTTCCATGATAGTCTTCGTTTTATTGTTAAAAATCAATAAAGATAAAGCATATTTTGTTCATCCCAAATAAATAAAGCATATATGAGTAAAACATTAGAATACATGTACAACACAATGAGGGAATACATTTGACAGCACTGTGTAAAGATAAAAGACACGATTTTGATGCTCAAATCCAAAGATTTCATCAACTACTCAGTCATGTTGTATTAAATTACTGATTTGGGATGTGCTACATCTTTCATCTTTCTGGTCAGAAAAATCTTTTATCAAACGCATGGATATACTTCTTGTCCACGGAATAGGCAATGGCAGAACGTACATTAAGTACAACAATAACACCTACATCCTTGGTAGCTCTTGGTAACCTGCATTTGAGTATCACTGAAGCACAAAACACAATATGAATTAGGGAGAATTCCCTAAATAGGAGTAAAAAAAGTTTTGAAATTCCAAAACAGGAGTATCATGTTTTTTATTCCTTGAATAGGAGTAAATTTCTGCCAAGTTTGGCATTAGTATGCTTTAAAACATGACATTTTCTTTCAAACTTGACAGATTACTCCTATCAAGGGAATAAAAAACATGATACTCCTATTTTGGAATTTCAAAACGTTTTTGCTCCTATTTAGAGCAATTTCTATACGAATTAAGATTTTTTCGTTCCATTAAAAAAACAAGCAGCAGGGAGCAAACAATTGGCCGCAATAGAGATTATTTCCCCTTTCTTCTGAAAGGGCCCAGTAACAAGAAGAAGACCAAGAGCATTTTTTCTCTTCTTTTTTCTGGAATGGCCGCAGCAGCAACCAAGAGAGGAGAATCAAGGCATGTGGATTGATACATTTGATCAAATTGCATCGCAAAGAGATCCAACATACCAAGAACACTAATTTCAGCGCCTGTCAGAATTGTTGCACTAATGTTAAAAATACATTAGGATTGGTGAGAAATACATTCACAAGGGGATGTAATTGCGATGTGCTACTATGATTTACTAATGTCATCCATCAATATCCAACATATTTTGCTTCTCTCCACACTCCAACTCTACAATTATATCCCCACATGCCAAAAAATAGATAAAAATAATTAATTATAGAGGAGATAGCCTTCCATCAAGCCTTAATTTGAATCTGGTTTGGCATGACAGTTGGAAGTATATGAATATTGTACATATACCAAAGCAAGCAAACAATCACTTATAGTCTAAGCCCAAACCCAATAGACAACACGCTCCAAGTCTCCGTAGAGATGTGTGGATATAAGTATATAACCTATTGTTTTTTAGTTCTCTATTTCGATATATTATTTTCTGAAATAGGTGATTTTTTTAGTTTTAATGTTGAACTCTAATTTCAGTTGCTAATCATGGCTCAAATTTCATGATCAAAACATTTTTGTGAGTTTGCATAAGCTCAAGAACAAAAATGAAAGATAATGACTTGTGCAAAAAAACTGGAAAATGATGAACTGCATCCACGGAACAGCAACCTAAGATGGCCCTTCTCCTATGCTATAAAAAATTGTAGATTGGGGGAATTTGAGAGTAGAGCGGCAGACGGTTGTCTTCTAGTCTGGTTGGTTAGAAATCCTGCTTTTGGAGGCAAGAACACGACAGAAGGGAAGATTTTTATGTTATGCTTATTCCAAAAAGTTTGTGTTTATTTAAACCATACCGAATTCTTAATCGGTTCACAATTTTTTTTTCTAAATTAACAAATAAAATGATAAAAGACATATAGATAACATATAGAGAGGAGGAGAACTGAAGAGCATACGCGTGAGTAAATCAATTGAGTTGCTTGAACATAAGATTGAGAAAGCGGTTGAAATCGCTTCTTGCCTTGAGCTTCTCGTCGCCGATGATGGCTTTGAGTTAGGCCTGTATTGGAAATCGGCCGAGTCTCCATCAATGTCGAGAAAGAAGATGAATGCCTAGCTAATTCACCGTAGAGTAATTCCCCGTGGGTTCCTGCCAACTTTTGTCTTCATTGATGGAGCCTGAAGGAACTTCATCGTCGATTCACCGAGGGATGCACTGCGTATGTTTTAATTTTGGGTGTGGATTACTTTTGAAATAAAAAGTGTTAAAGTGAAAAGATGAAAGTCAAAAAATGAAAACAAAATACTTGTGTGACATAAATGAAATGTGATGCCTAAAATGGAACCTTAGGCGTAATTTCCACTTATGTATTTGACCTGCCTTTGAGCCGTCTCAGTCCATCTAACCCAGACCATGGCAGCCCAATTATCCAAGTGAAGCTGTGAAGGCCCTGCCCTTTAGCGGTTTAGCCCCTGCGTACAACTTCTCACAGAATCACAGCAGCGAAGGAGGCACCGAGCGAGCATCTCAGCGACAGTCGACGGAGCAAGTGGCGAGTGCTGCCGGCTGCGAGTCGGCGAGTGACCACGGTGGCACGGACAACGGGACGATTGGACGACGATGGATTTCCGACGAGAATCACAGGGCTTCACAGCAGTTGGGCCCTTCTTCTGATTTCCGGTGGCCGGTGCGACGGTGCTCCCATCTCTAGACTCCACGTAAGCCTCTTAATGCCTTAACCTAATTGTTTTCTGATAATTTCATATAAAATTGTGTATTTGTTGAATTTTATATTTTGAGTTCAAATAAAATGTTAATTGTTGAATTGTTGAATACTTTTATTTTTTGAACTCAAATAAACTGTTGAACTTCTTGGCAATTATATTATGATAATCTCATTAAAAATGTTAATTACAGAGTATAATGTAAATTTGTAATTGTGGCTTTGTTGATTTAATTAACGTTGTTAATTTCTTGATGTAATTTTTACAATTATACACATATTATTTTAATTGCAGTTGGTCTAGGTTGTTTGACAATCGCTATGTTACGATATTATACACCGAAACCTAAGCGGCCGACAGTTCTTCATCGAATAATTTAGTTTCTTCGTCAGATAATGTCATTCCTAACAATGAAAATAATGTTAAAAAGGCTCGAATAGAAGTTGAGTTGTGGGATGATGACATTGTCGGTGATCCTAGATTGCGTAAACCGATTGACACTTATGATGTTAATATTAGACACGAGTTGAGGAAGTGTTATCTGGCAAAAGGCCCTTCCCAACCGCATGAGTTTAAATTTCCACAGACTGATTTTAATGGGTGAAACAGATCATTTAAAAAGCAGTTATTTGAAGAATTTAACTGGTTGGAGTATAGTGATTTTATTTAAATTTTTTAATTTTGTTTATTTATGTATTCGTGATGTATATGATTTCATTGTTAATCTGCCCGAGAGAGTCACTGCCGCCGAGAGAGTGCTGCAGCCGCATGGCTCGCACCCCGCCCTTCTCAGATGTCGTCTCTGTAGCCGCTCACCTTCTCAGATCTCGCCGTTGTCGTTGTTCATCCACCTCTATCGTCGCCGTCTAGATTCGTCTTCGCAGCTATCAATGGAAGGATTGGTTGTTCGTTTGCCGGAGTTGGTTGTTCGTTTGCCGGAGTTGGTTGTTCATTAACTGGAATTGGTTGTTCCTATCCGAAATCGGTGGTGGTGGTAAATAGTTTCTGATTTTCTGTTTCTCTTGTCCCTCTTAATTACATATTTGGTGAGGTAAGTGCGATTGACAGCTTCCAACTGAGGACAAATATAATACACTCCCTATTTTACCCAACTTTTTCGGACGCCATTAAAAGGCCTGATTCTTTTTAAAGGAAAATAAATTTATGAGAAATCGTGATTGAACATCTGGTTATACGGGTATGTTCAGACCCCTTGGTTTCTTTCTAGTGAATCGGTTGCTTGTAGGGACTCTACATCAGTGGCGGCAGATGGAGTGCGGATTAGGGGTGGGCACAAAAAACTGTAACCGATTAACCGAACCGAAAAACCGGAAAACTGATGCTTTTTTCAGTTAACCGATCCGAAATTTTTAAAACTCACGGTTAGGTTAACCGGCCGGGAGGGAAAAATGGTTAGCCGTATGGTTACAGTTTAGAAATTATACTCACCGGTTAACCAATAACTGTATGTTCATACGCAGGCAACGAACAATAAATTCCGATGAAGGTATGCAAACGGGAAAATAAACACTTCGTATCATTTATGGAATTCTTGTGTATGTATATTCACGTCCATACATAGTGGAATATGCACACTTTACAATCAATTACTCCGTACATAGTCTTTCTGGAAAGAATATACTTCTAGACTAATGCTAAGCTACTGACATGTATACATTTTCTTTAGTAATATACGTATAAATAGTATAACCGTATAATAATAACATAAATACAGGAACATATACTTGTAATATGGAAAACTAATAGTACACATGGAAAGATAATACGGTGTAATACGGACTAGCTAAAGTTTCAAAGCCTGGGAGTTTTTTTGGAAAAGTTGCTGCTATATAAAAGTTTCTAATTTAATCTTGGACTGCTTACGTATTTTTTATCAAATGAGCTGATTAATACGGAGTAGTTTGATAAGTTTATTCATTTCTTTTTCATGGGTTTTTGGTTAACCGATTAGTGGTTAAGTGAAATTTTGGTTAACTGATACCCGGTTACTCCGGTTAGCCAATGTTATGGTACGGATAATAGTATTAACCATGGTTGTTGATGGTGCAATATGTCGCGTGCGCCATGAGGCGCGCTTAGGCCCTCTGCGCCATGAAAACAGGCTGTGCCGCGGAAGATATAAGAGGCGACACCATTCTTGCGCCTTCGCCATTTGGGCGCCATCGCCATGGCGTTTGCGTCGTCCAGTAGTCGTCTAGGCTCAATGTTGGCGAAGAAATCCTCGACTTATTCACAGGTCGAACCGCAGTGGCAGGCCCAGAACCAGATAAAATAGATCTAGGCCTTAATTAGGGCTAATTTAATTAAGGTTTCAGGCTTTAAATTAAAAGCTAATCCCAAACTAATCTACCTTACGGACCATTCGTTGCCCATAGTTGCACGTAGGAAGCAAACGACTAAGACGAACTCACATAGTCGCCCTCCCTCAGTCCCTCGCGGAAGCAGAGCAGCAGACGAACTCACATAGACTTCCGAGTTCCCAGGTCCTTGATCTTTGGCTTCAGTTTTTATTTTATTTTAAATTGTAATTAATTAAGTTGTGTATTTATAATTTTGTTTTTTGACCTTGTTTTTGTGTGTGTTAACTATGATACTTCTATTTTAAAATAACCTTCTATGATATACTTCACTTTTTGTTTTGATTAGTTTTTTAATTTTAATTCTCATTAATAAACCTTGTTTTCAATTATTAATTGTGAGTTTCAATACTAAGTTATATACAATATATAATTATACATATAGTTATATATAAATATATATATAAGAAGTGAGAAGCTTCACATTTACCTCTTTCTGATGCACTTTTTTGCTAATCTGATGAACAGATCTTAATTTGAACGCACTAGATGCATTCTCACTTCTTACGATAAGTACTCTTCTCATTTCATCCTTATTTTATATTTTTGTGTATATATATATATATAAACTAAATGAATGAAGATGGTGTTGCATTGCTATATAATGGAGATGATGAGGACCGAGGAGTGTGACAATTGGTGATGATTATGGAGTAATCATCAAACAAAAACAAGCTAATATATTTTGAAAGACATGAAACTTTTTTTGAATAATACTCCCTCCGTCCTGCTAACAATGGGACAAGAGGGAGTGACACACAAATCAATAAAAAGTGGTTTATGCGGTTGATATTGAATTGATAAAGTAAGAATAAAGTAAGAATGATTTAGAGCCACACAAACTATACCAAATTTGGTATGGGACAATCTTAGTGAGACGGACCGATAAGGTAAAATGAGACAATCATATCGGGACGGAGGTAGTATGTTTTTTGGAACTACTTTAAACTCTTTGAACGCCACATGTTTTGGTTAGAATGCCATTATTCAACTTGTTTTATCCATACTTGTCACGGCGTTAAGGCGAGTCGCAGCGCCAACCGACCGCTATATCGCCTAGGCGACAAGGCGCCCGCCTATGCGACAATTAGGTGACTAGTTGTATAAAATATTATATTTCATATATATAATTATACTCCCTCCGTCCCAATTTGTAAGATACTTTACGGTTTACGATGTTTGACCGACGATAAAGCAAATTGATCCCTGTCACCACTCAAATTAGTTTTAGAAAATAAAGTTTACATGTTCAAAAATTACATTTTTTCCATCATTTGCAATGGAGCCAAAGATTCATTATTTTTTGGCTTGAGATTACGATGGAATAAAGTAAAATGGCTCACTAAACAGTCTGCGCTTCTTTGTTATGAAGCAGCAGTTAGTCTATGCAATTTTGGACGGGATTTTCACTATGAGTCATCTGGAAACAGTCTCTCTGTGCTTTAGTACAGGGGTAAGATTGCGTAAAACCGACCCCCCCTTACCCCACCGTAGGTGGGAGCCTTTGCGGCACTGGGGTAAATGAAAATGAAAATGAATTCAGAAATTACATTAAAATCGCTACAAAACCTGCAAAAAATAATTCAAACTTCATAAACTTTTGATATATAAAGTAAAAGATTAAGAGTGATTTATGTTGACCAAGTGAATAGTAAATGTATCTTATAATTTGGGACTGAGGGAGTATATATTTACATATAACATTGTATTTAACTGTATTTAATTTAATTTGTAGTTTATTATATGTTATATACTACATATGATCTAATTAAATTGTATATATTACCTAGAATTGATACCAACAATTAATAAATGAAAAAAAGGTTTATGTATGCGTGTGACCGTGTGTATATAAAAAAATCATTCGGCTATGTCTACAACTTAATTAAATAAACTACTTTAGTGGGTATACTCTTTAGTGCGTCATTGGACATAAAACATACGGAGTATTAATATACTGGAATATAAGAAGTCGGATAGAGACATAAAGGCCAAGTGAATAACCGATAAAATAAAAAGCTGGAGAAGAAGCGCAGGTCATCTTCAACCTTGCGACGCTGGAACGCAGCAACTGCAGGACGTCTTCAACCTTGCGACACAAGAACGCAGAAACTGCAGGTCCTCTTCAACCTTGCAACAGAGGCACACCAGCAGAGAAGTAGCGACTAGCGATGCTTCGTGCTTGGGGTTTGTCGATTGGCCTTGAAGATTGAGAGTCGATGATTGGCCTTGAAGATTGAGACTTTCAGAACGCTTCGGTTCCTAAATTACTACTTTCTAAATCATATTTTGGGCTGGGCTTCTAAAAACGAATTTATTGAGATTTTAATCTCCCCTGGCGTGCGCCTGGACTGCGCCTGGATGACGACAGGAGCGACTTATCTTCTTCTTGCGAGTCGATCTCCCAAGTCGACCCTTCTCCATCGCCAGGACGCCAAGTAGGCGCCTAGGTGACGCCTAGTCGAAGCCGTGACAAGCATGATTTTATCATATAATGGTGGTTGGGTGATACAATTATATTGTCTATAATTCATTTTTTTAGTTTTTTTTGTCACGTGGCGACACCATATTTGCGTTATCGCGGTTAACCGAAAATTGGTTAACCAAAGCCCAGTTAACCGACCATGCCCACCCCTAGTGCGGATTGGCAGTGATGGATAGGGTGCAAATTGGTGACAATGATAGGGGAAGGGTGAGACTGGTGGGGGAAGTCACAGGATGTTGGAGGCGGATTGGTCCTTGGGTAACTGGGGTGGATGATAACTAGGAGTGCTTGGTAACTGAGTGTGGCTGATAACTAGGAGTGCTTGGTAACTGGGTGTGGCTAGTAATAAGTGGTCACTGGGGCGAAGGGTCACTGGAAAGTTGGTATGGTGCACTGTTGTCACTTGGTAAGGTGACTAGGTCACTGGGCGGAACGGTGAGCATTGGAGTGGAGGTCACTATGTTGGGTCACGTCAATGTTAGATAAAGTCACTAGAGTAAATTAGTAAGTTTAAAATTTATTAGTCACATTTTTTTGAAATTTAAAATAGTCTCTTTTGTTCATTATCTACTTTTTACTAATATTCATATAAAAAATTAATTCCAATAACCATTTCCATGAAAAGATGTCAAATGTCATTATATAGCCCAGTCTGATTTTTTTTTTGTTAACGTCTGATTTTGACAGGCATACAATAAGACTTGCACTGCCACGATGCCAACCATGGAGGTCGAAGAAGCAGAAATGAAAATCTTCGCCAACAGAGAAGATGGAGTTTCCGAGAAAGATTCCAAAGTTTTACAATTTCTCGATTCACTAGATAGCTATCTTATTCTTATCGACACTTTATCTTCAACACTTCGCCAGGTTCCGGTTTTTCTTTGTTTACATTTTTATAGACTTAGATTCGTTTGATTTGGATGCATCACAAATAACAATCTTGCGCGTGTGTGTAATTATATAACCATCTAGCGTATATTTATTCTGAACCTGTAGATTATATGAAAAAGAGACATTAAGTAGGCGTAGCGTAATGGAGATGCTGCTATGAAGTGTAAATGAAATCGCCTAAATCATGACCATATCTTCTCTCTAATTACGTGTTTGGATATATCGTATATCCAATCATTGCAGGGTAATCTGGAGTTGTCAAGTGCTAGACTTTCTATGGGTGTGTCACGCATCAATAGCACGTTGCTTGACCTCAAACCACATTCTGCCACAACTGTACTGGATGTCTTTCATCCGGAAGGTTAAATACTTACTTTGTCTTGTAGAATATGCACTCGAAATAACAAATTCACAGTTTAGGTTTAAGCAAAGGATCGACCAGTTATTGGTGATGTATTTTTTCATAGCAGGATCGAAAATGGACCACGTGTGCTTCAAGCTGTGCAAGTGGGCTAATTCTGCTTGGCCAGAAAGTCCATCCAACGAAAGTAAATCCAACAAGGATGGCTCATTGCATGGTAACCTGTGCATTGTGTTGATTACTCCCCTTTTTCAAAATGATTGTCCATCAAGGAAAAATGGGTGGGTTTTAAGGTGATATTTTTTGTCATAAACCGACGAACATGCTCATATTCTTTTGTATTGAAAGTGACAAATTAAAACGAAAGAAATATGTGACACAAGTGTGTTCATGTTGCCATCCTTTACCCTTTCAATTGGCTAAAGGACAGATGTCTGTGAACAGAATGCCTTTAGTTTATCAACAATTATTTGAAAACTGGGAGTAACTAGTTCCGTTAATTATTTGATTTCTACTTAGTCACTACAACAACAACATCCAAGCCTTAGTCCCAAAAGATATTGGGGTCAGCTAACATGAATTGATACATGATATCACCACCAAAAGGAAAAGAAAGAAAATAAAGATAAAAAAGATAAGCTATTATAAAAAGATAATATAAAAAGAGATGAATGTACATAAAAAGGATAAAATAAAAAGGATACAAATAATGCTTATATATATAAGGATAAAAAACTAGGAAAAAAAGATGAGGGGAAAAGATGATACGAGATCACTCCTCCACACGAATACCCGTCCTCCACTTAGCTCTCTCCAAAGTCATGCTCTCATCCAACCCCAGAAGAAGCATATCACTTCGAACTCCCCTAACCCACGTCTGTTTGGGTCTTCCTCTCCCTCTCTTCCCTGCCTCTTCTCCACACATCTCAACTTGTCTGACAGGTGCATCACTCGGTCTTCTACGCATATGACCAAACCACCGTAGACGCGACTCCCGCATCTTGTCTTCAATAGGTGCTACTCCCACCCTTTGTCTGATTGTCTCATTCCTCACGCGGTTCTTCCTAGTATGCCCACACATCCAACGCAGCATACACATCTTTGCCACACTCATCTTTTGAATGTGACATTGTTTCACCGCCCAACACTTTACGTCATACAATAATGCAGGCCTAATTGGTGTCCTATAAAATTTACCCTTCAGTCTAGTCGGCGTACCTCGATCGCATAGAAATCCTGACGCACTCTTCCACTTCATCCACCCTGTTCTGATTTTATGGGATACATCTTCATCTAACTCACCGTCCTTCTGAATTATGGAGCCCAAATAACGGAACATAGCGCTTACTAGTGTCTCCTTACCATCCTGAGTAATTCCGCTATTACCAGTGCTTCTACCTCCACCAAACTTACACTCCATGTACTCTGTCTTGCTCTGACTTAGTTTGAAACCCTTATTCTCCAATGTTTGTCGCCATACTTCCAACTTTGCTTTAAGACTTGATTGCGTCTCATCAATCAATACAATATCGTCGGCAAGCATCATGCACCACGGTATATCGTCTTGAATTGACTTTGTAAGTTCATCCATGACTATGGCAAATAAGATAGGGCTCAGAGCCGATCCTTGGTGCACTCCGATAGTAATAGGGAACTCTTCAGTCCTCCCTACACTAGTACGGACACTTGTAGTACAATCCTCATACATATCCATGATGTTGCTGATATACTTGCGTGATATGCCTTTTCTAGTTAAGGCTCACCAAAGAACTTCTCGAGGTACCCTATCATATGCCTTTTCTAAGTCAATGAACACCAAATGCAGATCCTTATGAGTGTCTCTATACTTCTCCATAAGTTGCCGAAGAAGGTGAATGACCTCAGTTGTTGAGCTACCAGGCATAAAATCGAATTGATTCTCTGAAATCTTCACAGTTCTTCGAAGTCTTTGCTCAATCACTCGCTCCCAAAGTTTCATGGTGTGACTCATAAATCCCTCGGTAGTTGGCACATTCTTGTACATCACCTTTATTCTTAAATAAGGGGATAAGAGTACTCTTCCTCCAACTCGTTGGTATCTTGTTGTTTCTCCAAATCATGTTGAAGAAACTTGTTAACCACTCGACGCCTCTCTCTCCCAAACTTCTCCAAGCCTCGATCGGTATGCCATCTGGATCCACTGCTTTCTTCCGTCTCATCTTCCTCAGAGCTTCTTTAACTTTCGTTGTTTGGATCCTTCTCACAAAATCACGATTTACCATACAATCTGGTATGGACAAATCACCGATATCTTGCGTTTTGTTCCCGTTGAATAGTGTATCAAAGTATGACTTCCGCCTCTCTTTTATCTCTCCGTCGTCCATTAATATCCTCTGATCGACATCCTTCACACACTTAACTTTTGCAATATCTTAAGTGTGTGAAGGATGTCGATAAGAGGATATTAATGGACGACGGAGTGATAAAAGAGAGGTGGAGGTCTACTTAGTCACTAATTGCTTGAAAATAGAGTGTTTGAGACTTTGAGGTATTTTTAAAGGACTTTGAGGTATTTTTAAAGAGATAATCCCGATAATCTACTCCAGATGCATCTTTTAAGTTTTAACATCTAAATTGTAACTTTGTCTCCCCTACTCCAGAAGCTCAAGGGAAGAATCAGGAAGATAGCGGGTCTCCATGCACACTTGATGACAAGGTAAAACTACTTGTGCTAATTACCCCTCCTTCACTACTCATTAATTGCCTGTTCTATAATATGTATGCAAGGCTCATGTAACTATTTCCAGTTTTAAGGATTTTTTTTCCTGCCGAGCCTTACAAGTTTCATAATCAAGGACAATGAACCGAATAGAGTTATATATTAAATAATTGAAGAAAAATTGGTGAACTTGGGATCAGCCTTTAAATTTTATTGTGTGCTTTCTAGGCCAAGAGAGAAAGACTCAAATCACTGTCTATGTTTGGGATGCTGGTTTCTCCAAAGCTTCGAGCTGCCCAACTTTCATATGAGACAGGTGATTTACCAAGTCCTCTACTTGAAAGTTCAAAGGGTTTCCAGGATAAATGTTGCTGCAATATGCCAATATGTGTTTTTTGTTTAAATTTGTATTGTTATTATTATTATTATTTTTAAACCTGTAACACAAAAAGATGTAGTAGTTCTCACATTGTTGTCAATCCCAGATAGCGGAGCGTAGCGGGCAGCCCCAAAAACGCTATAGCGGTATAGCGGATAGCGGGATGACTACTATTTAGAGTACTTTCAAATATAATAGATAAGTAACTATTGGAGGCATTAGGCATATGTAATTCATACATATGAAAAAAATACTCTTTGCCTTACTGTAAGGTACATCAATTACCTTTAAGGTACATCTAAGGTCTGCAAAGAGACTATTGAAACTAGATGGTTCACCCACCTATATTACTTAGAAATACTCTTTAGTTTCATCAGCAAAACATAAGATGCCATTAATAATTAAAACATCTCAAGTCAAAACATTGAGTAAAAAACAAGGTTCTAGTGTAAGAGTTTAAGCCTTGATAAATTGACTTGCAAGCTCTTTGAATTCATCATTCACCTCTCCTCCTCATCAAATCGTTCTTCTTCCAACTCTATCTCATCTTCATTGTCATTTTCACTACTACTGCAATCATAAATTTTGTCCGCTCTGCCACTTCAACATGCTCTATACCTTCTATTAAGCGGCCCCTCCCTCTAGAGCTTGTAGCTCCTCTAGAGCTTGCAGCCCCTCTAGAGCTTGTACTCCTTTCACTTGTTCTGCTTTGCTGCCTAGTGTTTATCAAAGGCTCACACGCACCAGTTAGGTCAGCAACATCTCCCCAAGTAAAGTTGGTGTCATCATAAAAAACCAGATCATCCTCGGCATCCTCTTCACCCCCCCATTACTCCCACTAACCACTCATTGCTACCATCAATATCATTTAGACGATTGGATCAATCAAATCATGACTGTCAAATCGCTCCTTAAGATCTTGGTTTTATTTCTCTTCTTCGAATGAATCTATGTTACAAATTTATATTAAAAAAAACTGTTAGTAGAATACAGTTTTTTGAACTTGTAAAACAGTACACAATGTGTTTGTTGATTGAACTTGTAAAACATGTAATAATAACATACATGCTCAAATGTACTCCAATTGCGCTCATATCTCGATAAGCTACAAGTCAAACTTAAGATCTTTATGGCAAGCTTTTGAAGATTTGGTGTATGTGATCCATAGTTCCTCCACCATCACCTTTAAATGCAAGTAAACATTAAATATTCTATTAGGGTTGGTGATAAAAAAATATATGCTTTAACTTGCGAGGAACAAGAGTATCTCTTTGCCTTACTGTCAGCTTCAATCCAAAGAGACCTTTAGCTCTCTTATAAGCATTCAGCTTACATGATATTTTATCTTCAATTTCTTCATTTTCACTAAGCCTCTTAATGCATGCGTAAAGCCCTTGCATAACCTCATTGTCCATGTCCATTCTTGGGTTCTTGTAGTAGAAGGGTTTAAATAATGACCAGCGGCATGCAAGGGATCATGGAGTGGAGTTTCCCATCATAAATCAATAATTTCAATTATTTTTTGGATCTCGTTTCATTCTCTTGAAAAGAACCCTGAATTGCTTCTTGGCTCGATCCATTGCTTCATAAATGTATCCCATTGCGGATTTTTTCTCATGATCGGCTAGCATTAGAATGCGTACAAGAGGGCCCATTACTTTCAGAATGTAAATAACATCATTCCAGAATGTAGGATTAAGAATTATGTCCATAACTCTCTTTGCATTTCAATCTTTGGAAACATTAGTCTTTTTCCTTTCATCAGAAGTAAACATGTTTCTAAGCTTTACTCTTTACTCTTTGAGTATGCAGCCGTTGCAAGGTATGGAATGACGTAGCAAACCTTGTAATAACACGTTTAAGCAATTCCATCTTGTTGGTGAACTTTCTCATCGTGTTGAGAGCAATGGTATGGTTGTAGATGAACCCACTACACAAATACTTTTTCTTATTGTTGTTTAATTGTGGACAACTTCCCAATGTCCTCAAGCATTTAATTTACGCAATGGGCAGCACATGGAGTCTAGAATAAATGCTTTCTCTTCACTTGTAGCAGTTTTTCTAAAACATAAATCATTGAACTCATCTGGGGTAGCATACTCACATAACTAAAATTCATAAATTTAAATTTTAAATAAAGTAATATTGAAGCAATTGAACTAATAAATATTACCCGCAAGAACATAGTTACTTCCATTGTTGGTGATCACTTGCATCACATATTCTTCCCCAATTGTCTCAACAAATTGATCAAGAAGCTCAAATAATTTCTCACCAGGTTTTGTGTATTCAGAACCATCAACACTCTTCACAAACATTGACCCCTTGGGCAGTTCACAAAAAAATTAATCAATGTTCTATTTTTCCTATTTGTCCATCCATCAAACATAATTGAGCATATTCCTCTTCATGGCCCTTTAACAGTCCTTTAACCTACTTTAAGAAGTGGAACTCTACACTCATGATAGCTTGGGGGCTTTAAATGAAGACCATAGTTTCCAGTAGCCTCAACCATCAATTTGAAACTTTTTGATTTCTCAACATTAAAGGCAATTCCATTTGTACACAGAAATCTTTCAATATATTGAATGGTTCTAGCCTTAACTTCCTTGTCACAAGCATCCTTTATGTTTGTTTGCCTCTTAGCTTTTCCCAAGCTTATTGATTTTTCTGGTTTCATATAGCAACACAAGTCTAAGGGTCCTTTGACCTTTTTGGCAGTAGGATGAGAGGCTTCTGTTGCTGCTGTTAGGGGTCCTTTTCCTCTTCTAATATTCAGAATTTCATTAAGGTCTTCCATTTCATCTTCATCTTCTTGCAACTCCATGATGCTTCTTTTTCCCTTTTTTTTTCCTGTAAGCCCCAACATCTCCTCTCATTCCCATTTGGTGCCTTTTGGCTTTCATAATTCCTCCAGTAGAAGTTTTGCCACAAAAATCACATGTAACAGTTTTCTTGTCTTTTCCATCTTTCAAACTGTTCAACTTCCAAGCTGGGTCAAGATGTTCTCGTGTGGGCTTAAACAAGAGAGTAGATTGACTAGACTCCATATGAGAAGAAGAAGAAAAGAAGACTGAAAGATACTACTGAAGGCAGAGGAGGGCAACATGTGTCGTTCTTGGAGAAGAAGCTATCGCAGAGCAGCAGAAATAGATGATCATCGTTCTTGGAGAAGAAGTCATCGCAGAGGTTGAACTGAGTATTTTCAAAAGCTAGCTTCGTTTTGAGCTTTTAGTAGCCTTTAACGTACATGTAAGGGTTTTAAGTAGGTTAATATTTTGTTTTAAAAGTCTAATTTACCCCTTCTATGTCTGCGCTAAAAAATTAAAGGAAAAATTGAAAATAAAAATCCCAACTATTGTTGTTCCGCTATTAATAATTCCAACTATCGATTATTTCTGGGTGACCCCAACTATAGACACCATTTTCCTAAAATAGTCCCTAACCTGTTACAACCTGGTATAACAGGTCAAATTTAAATGTGAACTATGCGTAGGCTATAAATAATCCTAACATGGTTATTAATCCCAATTATGAACTCTCAATTTTAGAAAAATATAATTTTTTTTATAAATTACCAAATTAAATATTTTTAAACATGTGAAAACAATTAAGAAAGTTCTACAAATGTACCGAAGTTAAATAAAAATATTTTTAGTCATTTTGTTATTTATTCTCACTAAAATTTCATTTTTTTCCTTTTTCCAATTTATTTTTTCAAGTTGTGTTAACAAGTTATGATTTTGTATTATTCTTCTTTATTCAATTTTACATTTTGTGTTTTCAAAAAGTATATAGTGATTAAAAAATTACGATTTAGATCTTTATTCTAATTTTTTTCATGACAATCAATTTTTTAAAATTTTTATGCTATCTTAATTGTAAAAATCTAAATTCTCTATTTTTTCAATTTTAGTATTTTTAATTTCTTTCTATTTTCTTTATTGTATGTTATTTTATTCTATAAATTATATGATATAGTTTATCATTGAATTCTAGTAATTTGGGATATAGATTTTGGATTTTGGCTATGTTAATGAAAATGTATTGTTCCCTCCGTCCCGCTAGAAGGTTCCCGTAACGGTTTACGATGCTTGATCGATGATAAAACAACTTAATCCCTGTTCACACTCTGATTATATTTAGTAAATAAAATTTACATATTCAGAAACTACATTAAAATCGTTACAAATTCCGATAAAAAATGTAAAAGTGATAAAAATTTTATATATAAAGAAAAAGAATAAAAATGATTTAAGTTGACCATATGAATAGTGGACGGGAACCTTCTAATGGGATGGAGGTAGTAATATTTTTATTTTAAGTGATATACTCCGTACATTTTTTTAATATTTTTTTACAATTTCCATTATATCACTTAAAATTACAATATTAATACATTTTCATTAAAAATAACCAAAACCTCCAAAACATATGCCCCAAATCACTAAAATTGAACGATCAACTATATCGTATAATTTATAGAATATAATAATATAAAATAAATAAAATAGAAAGAAATTACTAAAATGGATAAAATAGAGAACTTAGATTTTTAGAATTAACATAGCATAAAAATTAAATAAAAAATATTTTTTATGAAAAAAACTAGAATAAACCTTTCAATCAAAAAAATATTAGTCATATCTTACTTTTTGAAAACAGAAAATGTAAAATTGAATTAAGGAAAATAATACCAAATCATAAAATTGTTAACACAACTGGGAAAAATAAATTGGACAAAAGAAAAAGATTGAAATTTTATTGAAAATAAATAAAAAATGACAAAAAATATGTTATTTAACTTTTGTACATTTGTAAAATTTTCATAATTATTTTTACATTTTTAAATATATTATTTGAAAATTCATAATTTTTTTTATATTTTTCTAAAATTGAGAGTTGATAATTAGGATTAATAAAAGAAGATCAACTATAGTTGGGATTATTTATAGCTTTCACATAGTTCGCATTTAAATTTGACTTGTTATACCAGGTTGTAGCAGGTTAGAGACTATTTTTGGAAAATGGTCCCTATAGTTGGGACCACTTAGGAATGATCGATACTTGAGATTATCAATAGTAGACCGGCAATAGTTGGGATTATTATTTTCAATTTTTCCAAAATTAAACGCTAAAATCCCTCTTAGAATGCGTAGTACCCTCTTTACCATAAAACGCCCCGCGTTAGTGGCCGCCAAAACACTTCTCCGCACCACTGCGATAGCGGGCGCCTAAACGCCACGCTAGAGCCCTCCACGTAGCGCCTTCCATGTCTGCCGCTCCGCTATAGCGCCACTAAATAAGACTAAATTGTGGTGAAAATGTTTGAATATCAACTATCAATCGCATCTTATATACGTATGTATTTCACTTACTTCCGGCATATCCATCATTTTCTTTTATACATTTTTATGCGGTTTCATCTCTTTTGTAGCTGTGGATACTATTGTAGAGATAGCAAACATGCGAATGTCAATGCTGCAGGCTTACAGTGAAGTGGCAGAAGAGATTCAAACTACTAGGAACAACTAGAGGTTCAATTCCTCTTATATATTCAAGATACTTTTCAGTCAATTCTAATTCAGGTAATAAATTGTGGTACATTTTGTCCATCTCCCAGCTAAACATGAAAGACTAACAGATTCTTCCCCCCCACCCCATCCTAATAAGGATTACGTAGTATAAAACAATGACATCAATAAATTGGCTATAGGTAGATGATACACATTCCTCATCTTTTATACTGAATCTCTAATTAAAAGCCTATGAATTATTCATATTGGAACTTAATACTCTCGTACTTATTTCCTAGCAGTGTTGTGGTTGGTGCTTCATGGTACATTTAGAGCCCGTTTGGTAACACTGAATCGGTTGATTCTGCTGAAATTTATGAAGATTTGGCTGAAGTGGCTGTATTGGCTGATTTTGCTGATTTATAAAAATAAGTATATTTAAATATATTTTATTAATAAAATAAAGAAAAAATTATATGAAAAAATAGCCAAAATGGTAATCTACCGTAACTTCAGCCTATATAGCTAGAAAAGTAATTCCAACCTTACTTTTTCTGATTAATACACAATTCCGTGCGCGAAATTAAGTCTGATAAGCCGAAAAACAGAATCACCAAACAGGCTCTTATTCTCTATAAAGTTTGTTTGTGTGTGTTTGGCAGCACTTATTTTGGAGCTTATTGCTTATGCTAAGCTCCAAAAATGCAATCAGTCCTATTTGGTGTGTAGCATAGAACCTCAAAAAAAGCTCTTATTTTAATAGTTACATCTATAGGTTAAGCTCTTAGCTTTTTTACTTTTTCTCAGTAATAATCATTTTCTTTGTACAAAAAACCTTTTTCCATTAACTATTTAACTACGAGGAATATATTTTTACGTGTTTCTACACATAGCAGCTAATCAAGTGTTAATATTACCAAACAATTCTGTGCCAATCACAGCTTAAAGCTTGCCTGGCCATTGACAACTTTTAGTTTGTTTTTGCAGCTTTTCAGTTCGGTGTCAAAATGTATCATCACAGGATCAAGACACTTTTCACTGTGAGGAATTCTCCAGTTTTTCCAGTTTTGTTACTCCAACATTAAGTTAGAGCATTTGAAGTTCCAAGGATCGGGAGGCTATTGATACCTAATCTGTTTGGCTTCCCCCAGATCTGACTGCAGGGCTCAAAAGAATCTAGACACGTTCATTTTCTCGTATGGCATTGGGTGGAGACTGTCCATTGTACTTGGACAAATAAATGTCATATTCACCTCTCTACTTGTTGAAAACAATCTTTAAAGCCAAGTGACCTGCAAGTAACTTGTTGAGCTCAATAAATCACACGTTTAGCTATAAATAAGGTCATGTCAACTCATTTTAGACATGTGGCTTTTATAACAAAATTTCATTTTCTTTTTTCTTCTCTTTTCATTTTCCCTTCTTTGCTTTATCTTCCCTTCTCCCTATCCGGCTATTTTTAACCTAGTACAAAGTACTATGTAATCCCTCCGTTCTTTTTTAGTTGCTATTTTTCACATAGGCATGGACTCGGGCCGGGCCTAGGCCCGGTCGGGCCGCCGGTTTGTATCACATGGGCCCGGGACCGGCCCGAGGGTTGGATGGGTCTGGTTCGGGCCGGGCCACCCGCCCGGGTCACGGGTCGGGCCACCCGCCGATTAAAGTATTTTTTTTTTTATAATTCATATTTTATACTTTATAGTTTTATACAAGTATTAAAAATAAACTTCAAGTGCATTTATTTGAAATGAAATAGGAACTACATTTGAAAATTAAAACAAACTTCAAGAGACAAACATTTTGTAAATTGTAATCAATCGGAACTTCCCGCACCTCCCGATCTGTTGGCTTTGTCACATGACTTAATATGTTTCATTGTCATCCCGTATCCGCCTGAAATCCTCATGCTACATTTTTTTCCGCACCATTTGCAAGTTGCGTACCACATCCCGGTATTCGGGTCCTTCTGCTTATCAAAATTATACCGTATAACGACATCTTGACTTTCCATCTTAAAAAGTTAAAAATGGTAGATATAATAATCCTACAATAGATGGAGATTGGAGAATGGAGATTAGAGATTGGAGAAGATGTGTATAAAAATGTTAGAAAATAAGAGTATTTATAGATTTTTTTGTACCCCCACTCACCCCCACCCCTAACGGCTCTATGCCTCTATAATTTCAAATTTCAATAGAGCCGTTTGGGGCTTTTGAATTTTGATTTCAATTTTTTCGTATGTTTTATTTTGAATAAATTACATAATGTAAAATTTATTAATTAATTTTATGAATTCGAAAAAAAATGCTACATATAAAAAAATGAACGTATATTTATTTGAAATATGAACTACAAGTTTACAAAATTACAAGTTACAATTGAGAAATGAAGGTAAAATTAAAACATGAAATACTAATCAATCATTCAATCGGAATCTCCGGCATAGGTAGAGCCATCCCTCGGTTGTAGATTCATCCATAAAGTGTTGGGATGGGGTGATGTCAATTTCTTGAGCTCTACGGGCCGCTTTCAACCAATCATAGTAGCATATAAGCATCTCAAAAGATTTTGCGCTCAACCTCGTTCTACACTGCGTTAGGACATTGCCGGCCGAACTAAATTCTTGTTCCACTTGCTTAGCCATCTTTGCTAAACCGGGAATATTCTTTCTTTTCCCTTCCACCAGTTTAGTACGTCAAAATCATCAACTTCTTCAAAATCAACATCATATGTTAAATACAAAGAAATCTCATTAATTGTGTTTTGTTGCGTAGCGGGAGTTGATTTCATTTTTTAATAAGATTGGCAAATGTAGATTTGAAAATTGATTTTCCTTTAGATGATATTTGTGTCGGGGGAGGGGGCGCATTTCATATTGTGCATGAAACTCATTAAATAATGCATAAAATATATCACTAACCTCGTTATATTCTTTTTTCGGATCAATTGGGTTGTCCTCATACATTGGCAATGAACCAAAAAAGCAGCATAATAATAATTCAAACATTCTCCTAAAGAACCAATTCTAAAACGAGGATCGAGAACAAATGCAATACCATAAATATGCGGAATATGTGAATAATATTTAAAAAACTTTTCCTTTATAAAACTAGCAAAATAACTCACATAATCGGCATTCTCAAAATTTGAAAAAGCACCGGCGAGATTAACAGCTTCACGAATAAATTGGTTTGAGGTATGTTTATAAACATGACTAAAAATTTCAGTTGCATTATTAAAATATATCAAAGCATTACAAATTTTTTCACAGGTGTCGATCCCAGTCGAGTTTATAATATAGTTATCATATTGTTTCATAAACACAGGAAAATATTGTTTATATCTAAGAAGAACTCCAATTAACTTATAGATACTATTCCAACGAATAGACAAATCTTTAGGAAAAGCCACATATTTCTCACTTCTTTCTATCAAATAATCATGCCATTTTATCCTAAGTTGTCCATTACCCCAAATACGTCTGATCCCCCCCCCCCCCCCCCCCCCCTTGACTACCTCCAACGATGGTCCCAACGCTTTTAGACCATCTTGCACACATAAATTTAGAACATGACATGCACATCGTTGATGAAAAAATCTACCCATCAAAGAAGTAGAACCACACAATTCACGCAATCTAGGAATAGCAGCAGTATTATTAGTAGCATTATCAAAATCAATAGCAAACACCTTATCAATTAAATTATACTCAATTAAAATACGCTCAATCAAAATATAAATATGTTCACCGGTGTGACGATAATTAAATTCACGGAAAGCAAGAACACGTTTATGCATATGCCAATCATTATCAATATAATGTATAGTCAGACCCAAATAATGTAAATTATGATAAGTATCCTCCCATATGTCAGAACATACAGTAACACATCCATCAAAGTTTGCAAAATAATTTTGTAACCTTACCTTTTCCGCACCATAAAGCCTTGAAATTTCTTTCTTAACCGTTTTGCGACTATAACCTCTATATTACGGATTTAAACAAGTTTGTGCATAATCACGAAAAGCAAGACTTTCAGAAAACAAATAAGGCAAATTTTATTCAACAAGTAAATTAGCCATACCAGTCAAATTCTGTGCATCATTGTATGAGAAATTACCAAAAGCTTGTTGGTTATTTGCAAACCTGAATATTTGAGTTTGCTTCCCCGTTCCGCCGCCTAATTTTGCATACTCCACCGGGTGTTTGGACTTAAGGTGTCTTGTGGCGGATCTGTATCCGCCGGAAATCCCCAAGCTATAGTTTTTCTTGCACCAATTGCAAGTTGCGGTTCAAATCCCGGTGTTCGGGTCCTTCCACTTAGAAAAATTATTTGCCATTAGTTCAGATTTACTTTTTTCGTACCTGTTTGGGATGAGGCAGACTGGTCGGCGTCATGGCTGCCGCCACCCTCCTCCTCCTCGTCGTCGTGGCTCTCCGGAATTACTTCCTCCACATCGTCGTCCTCGTCCTCGAGCTCTTCTTCGTCAATGGTCCTCGGTTGGTCTTGAAAAAAGCGGGAATTATGTCGGTGCAATTCTTGTTCTAGTTGTTCGTCGGTCATCGCATCCCCATCCCTCTTTGCGTAACCCGTATCAAAATCGTCTCGACTTTGAGATGAAGAGCTGATATGTGATTTACCTTTGCGGGATCTCTTCCTCGCAAGCTCTTTCGTTCGGTTGCGCTCGAAGTTACCCATATCAACTGAATATCTAGGACGATCCATCTAAAAAATGTAGCAATTAATAAAAAATTGTAATAAAGTAATTAACTATTAATCTAACTATTAATTCGAGTTATAGCAAATTAGTATTTTAAAGTTTACATTAATCAAATTAACTAGTGAATTAACTAGTTTTGTGTACAACCTATTTTTTTTACTAACAATGAAATTAATATACTTTAACTTTAACTATAATGAGAATTAACTAGTTTTTTAAACTAGAGTCAAATGTAGCAATTAATAAAAAATTGTAATAATGTAATTAACTATTAATCTAACTATTAATTCGAGTTATAGAAAATTAGTATTTTAAAGTTTACTTTAATCAAATTAACTAGTGAATTAACTAGTTTTGTGTACAACCTATTTTTTTTACTAACAATGAAATTAATATACTTTAACTTTAACTATAATGAGAATTAACTAGTTTTTTAAACTAGAGTCACATGTAGCAATTAATAAAAAATTGTAATAAAGTAATTAACTATTAATCTAACTATTAATTCGAGTTATAGCAAATTAGTATTTTAAAGTTTACTTTAATCAAATTAACTAGTGAATTAACTAGTTTTGTGTACAACCTATTTTTCTTACTAACAATGAAATTAATACCCTTTAACTTTAACTAACAATGAAATTACAACTAGTTTTTTGTACAACCTATTTTTTTTTACTAACAATCAAATTATTATAGTTTAACTTTAACTATTATGAGAAATAACTAGTTTTTTTTTCAAGTAACGTTAATACAAAATTAAACAAGTGTAAATAATAGAATAATTTCGTACCTCTTTCGGACTTTCGGTCTTTCGGATGGGAGTAATAGAATGACTTCAAATTAATTAGATATAATTCCAACTATATTAATAGATATAATAAATGTATAAGTAATATATAATTAGATAACAAATATAAGTAATATAATATTATAATGTATGTATTTATAAATTATAAGTAGATAATTAATATAAAGTAGATATATAAATAATAAATATAATATATTGGAGAATAAGAGAATTAGAGATTAGAGAGTTAAGAATATGATTTAGGAAGAATTGGAGAAGAGATATGAAATAATGTTTAAGATTAGGAGTATTTATAGGTTTTTTTACCCCACCCCCACCCCCACCCCCAAACCCCCGGACCCCCCTGCACCCCACCCAACGGCTATATAGCCGTTTGGGTTGTCCTCAGCCCACCCCCCAACGGCTATTTTGGCCAAAACAATTTTTTTTAAAAAAAAAAAAATGACCGTTGGACCCGAACCCGGGCTCGACCCGGCCGGGCCGGGTCAACTTTTTCCGGAACCGAGCCCGCCCCGCTCATCCCCACTGGTTCGGGTCTACACCCGGTCCCGGACCACCAGACCGAGCCGGTCCCGGGCCCGCACAGTAGCGGGCCGGGCCGGGTGGCCCGAACCGAATCCACCCCTAATTTCACATTTGCCAACACACGTCTTTGACCGTAATTATTTCTTAATTCTATTAGTAAAAAAATATTAAAAATCAGATTTTGAATTTTTCTAATGAGATGAATTGAACAATATTTTTTAAAAAAATAATTTTCATAAAATAATAGCGTAAAATGTAGTCATAGTATCAGATGTATCTAATGTGTATGTAAACATATATCACATATCCCATAACTTCCTCTTTCTACACTGAGAAACAAAAGAAAATATATCAGCCCCATTTATAGAATTCATCTTCTCCAAAATGAATTACAAGAAACAAACCCAATTAAAGAATAAGGTAATTAATAAAAGAAAATATCAGAGATAGAGACAAAGCAAGTGGGTGAAGCTTCGATGCCATTGAGGCATTTTGTGGTCTCTATTAGACACAAATATTTGTTCTACCGTCCTTCCCATTTGAAGATTATGGAGAGTCAATTTCACTGAAACTAATTGCCCTCAATAGCTCGTCAATCTCCTAGAAACCACCGAGTTAAAGCCATGGAAAAGACAGTCATGCCAAAGCATTGAAGACATGAATTCTAGCCAACATATGTCCTAACTATAAAATTCAGAAAAAATATTACCTCAATACCCACTTCTAGCCAACATTCATTTCCGTAGAGACTTAAAGCTAAGGAAAAGAAAGAAGATGAATTGAAGATATATGTAGGCATATGAGTTGACCAAGAAACGGACCAAGGAAGAAGACAATGAAGATGGAGAGGCATTTCCCTCGACCAAGGTATTGAGACCAAGAAATAACAAAAGTAAAAGAAAAGAAAATTGGGGAAAATGCCACATAAGCAATTAACCTGCTAAATCAGGTCATCTCCAGGTCAATTGATCTAAATGACTTCTTTTTGCAAGTAGACAGATGAAAATGACACTTATTTAAGTAGATGGATCTATATGATGGTTTGAAGATAGTAAGAGGTCTTATTTAACCCTTTTCTCTAAGTTTTATTATTTAGTCGCAAGTCACGTAAAAAAGCTCATGATAGGGTCACTTGAATAAATGCAATGCGTGACAAATTGAAAATAACAATCCCAACTATTACCGGTCCGTGCTATTAATAATTTCAAGTATCAATTATTCATAAGTGGTCTCAACTATAAGGATCATTTTCTTAAAATATTCCCTAACCGGCTACAACCTGGTATAACATGTCAAATTTAAACGCGAACTATGCGTGAGCTATAAATAATCCCAATTATAATCGATCTTCTTTTATTAATCCCAACTAGTAGGTCACCCGTGCAGTACACAGTTTGTGATTTATTCTAACTATAAATGCAGGCAAAAAATCATTTATAGAGGTATATATTGTATGGTGCATGCATTGATAGTCCACAAACCAATAAGAGTCACATTAATTGAGGGATGGAATTGAACCTAAAAAATACACACAAATGAATTTGTTGTTTTGCATGAAGTGAGTGTTAAAATTAAATTCATTGAAGAAAGAGTACATTAGATCTTACAGATTTTCAAAAATCCCCCTACACATGACACTCATCTTTTTTTTGTTTGACTGGCCACTTTCATCTGAAATCAAAATCTTAAGCCCCTTCATATTGTTGGTCGTAACAAATATGCTTGATTGTTATCTTTGATACAACCACACAAAGTTGGCCGTAACTAATGACGGGTTTCCTCGATAACAACCCTACACGTGATAATGACTGCCATGACTTTTGCTTATAGTCATATAACACGATGTCATTATCGGAGATTGTTTTATTTGAAAATGGTAAATATCATTATCGTAAAAATCACCGCTAATGTAGTCACATTGCAAACTACTTTTCTCTAACACGAGAAATTGCTACATTTCTATAGTTGGAATTATTTAGAAGTTACACATAGTTTGCATTTAAATTTGACCTGCTATACCAGGTTGTAGGCGATTAGGGACTATTTTCAAAAAAAAAAGGTCCCTATAGTTGGGACCACTAAAAAATAATTCATAGTTGGGATTATTAATAGCGAACCGGTAATAGTTGAAATTATTATTTTCAATTTTTCTAATCTATACATAACACTGACATCTTTCAAATTTACCCTTCCCAAACTATTTAATTCGCCTCTTTTCTCAATAGCACATTAATGCGATGTTTGCTAGATTGTTATTGTTTGGTAAAAGTGAAAAACATTAAGAGCCCGTTTGGTTACTCTGTTTTTCGGCTTATCAGGTTTATCACTAGGGGCGGAGCCAGGGCATTGGGCCACTGGGCCGGTACAAAGATTTTTTTTGAAAAAGTTTTATACGGAATTTTTTACACTAAAAATATAGACATTTTTTAAATTTAGGCTGGGCCAGGGTTGACCCTCCCCTAGTTACGCCCCTTTCAGCCAACTTTATAACCAAACACGTAACTTTTGATTTCACGTGCTGAATTGTGTAATAATAAGAAAAAAATAAGCTTGTGGTTATTTTTATGGATGTATTGGCTGAAGTAACTAAAGATAATCATTTTAGCTAATTTTCATATAATTTTTTCTTTATTTCATTAATAAATATAATTTAGACATTATTTTTTCATAAATCAGCCAATATAGCCATTTCACCCAGAACTTACTTTTGGCAGAATCACCGATTAAGCCAATTTCAGTGTTACTATAAAAGACTGATCATTGTCATTGCAATGCATTCTCTTTTGGTCAATCTACACAGATAAATAGAATTTGATTGAGTTGTCATTGATGTTTTTCTCAATTCTGGTGAAACACTTATGGGGGGGGGGGGGGGGGGGGGGGAGTGCAGCCCAATACGAGCATTGTGGTTGAATAGAAAGACCCAAGTTTAAAGACAAGGCTATGTTTGGTAGGCTGTTATGGATTATTCTGCACTTGTTGGAAGCACAATAACCAGCTTTTGACTTTACTTATTTGGGTAAAAGGATAGTTACAATCAATTTCGTGTTCAGAAAAGTTATGTATACTCAGACATTTCAGGCAAATGAATAAGTTAATCCACAAAATGATATTTGAAGTTATAGAATACGGAGTATTAGAATGTAATCATCAAAAGATATAAACATGATGATTATATGTGGTCAAAAGTAAAATGTTAACATGGGAAGAGCAAAAAAGAGGACTCTACCTGAATCTTTCTGTTTACAAAAGAAATCCTATTTAGTTTGTTATAGCACCAAAGCAATTGCTCTCTAGTTAGCCTACACATATTAAGAACCCTAGAAACTAATTTCATGTCCACTTGTGAGAAGAAGCAAAGAACATGGTCTGAATCATCATCGTCTTCGTCATCTCTGCAAGTTCTGAATCTCTTCAGTATGCATTTTTCACTTTTCATGCAGTCCTTGAGCTTCCTCTCCTTCTGCAATTCAAGCCGGGAGAAACATAAACCAACTTGCTGAATAAACTAATGAAAACAGATTCAAGAATGTATGGTACCTTTTGCAGACTTCTTCGGACTTCCATTAACAGCTCATAATCTTCTGCATTCTCAATCTCGGGGTGACACTTCCCATGTACGATGGAAGAGTCATTATCAGCTTTTACAAACCGCCAAAAGATTCTTATACATTCTTCCACAATCTCCACTAGATTATCACTTGTAATTGCAAAGTCACCCTTTTCAAACTTCCCACCCTTCTTCATCTCCTTCAAATTGTCTTCTGCAAGGAAGAAGCAAAAAAAGAGTTCTTCAAAGTGGTCAGTCAAAATGGTTTCAGTTGTCCACTTAAGGGAAGTGTTAAAAGTCCCCTATCAAAGAATTAAAGAAAAACAGACTCACTCTATCCCAAAGTCCCATACTACTCTTCATTCTTTCATATTCGTCTGACCCCAAGATTATTTTCAATTTCTTTTTGAGGAAATGATTCTTTAGATGATATTGTTTGTCTCTAGTCTAAGCAAATTTTAACCACACAATCTCCACCGTTAAACCACATGCCAAGTCTAAGAAGAACAAAGGTATGGGTTGCACTAGCCTAATCATGAATCCTATCCCTTATTACCTCGTATAAGAGGAACTTGCAGAAAATTTCGGAAGTCACATCTACTCTTGATATAACATTGGACTCTCCGCCCATGAAATCGTTCATCCTCTATGTACCTTTGCAAGAGCACCTGGAACTGTTGAAACTCTTCAGCAACTTCGTTATACCGGTGGGATCCAGGCAGGTCAGTTTCCCACAAGTCAATGGTCTTCCCATATTGCCAGTGTAGGAACTCCCAGGAAAGACACATCTGCCCAACATATACCACTTCCAGTTCACACTGCAATTCCTTTACAAACTTCACCACTGGATCATCAATGTCACTGTTTTTTTGTTTGAATGGCCAGATACTCTTCAAGAGTGGTGGCGGGGTTGAATATTTGTGGGTAGAAAGCAATTGAAATGGATCTTTTAAAGGCTCTTTCTGCAGGAAACCTGTATGTGAATGGCGTTAGAGTTGGTAATGATTGACTATTATCAACAATAATCAATAGAAAGATTGAATAACTGCCTAATACGGGATTGGGTAGGGACTGTTAGAATCATAATTGGGATAATTTCCGAAGTTATGGTATATCTGTATAAGTACTAAAGGAAAACGTTTTTGCATTCAAGGCTTAAAATGCTTGTTCTTAAAACCATCAGTCCATCAATACATTTCTAACTTATATAAGCACTAAAAGTATTTTCAAATGCTAAAAACTTTTACCCTACTTTTACAGCCATATTCTTGGTGAATGCATCTTTGTTATAGGTAAGGCCTTAAAAGTACTATTCTTGCTCTAACAAACATGTATTCGTTGAAATCCAACATGCACTCTTACGAAGAAAACCAATACCAATTTTAGAATCGTTTTCCCTCTTTTTCTGCCATTTTCTTGGCAAATGATTTTATAGTTAAAAACACTATTTTTCCTCTAAAACACTTTTTCTTTGTTGAAAACGAGTCATCAGAACACATCAAAAGAATGAAGTGGAATACCTAATGTAAATAGCTTTTGGTTTGTGAAGATATCAAATTTGTGCATTCTCTCTTTGTAGATTTTATTGAACTTCATCAGTTCATCTAATATGCTTTCTTCGCGTTGTATTCTGTCATTGATCTTCCATGGCTTAAGTTCATCCATTTTGGGAGACGCCGAATCTTCATAGATGGTTGGCAACCTTGTGCCTCTCATCTTTTTAAGTTCCATCTTTAACTGTTCAAGCAAATCTTCATGTTCCCATGACTCCAATTCGGATTCTTCATCTTCTTCAAAATCACTCTCTGATAAAAACCTGGATTCCAAATTTAGAATTCCACTATTTCCTTGTTTGACCTCTTTAATGGCCTCTTCCTCCAGTAGAGCACTATCATCAAGGTCAATGTCTCCTCCAAAATCTTCATCAGACCAGAAGAAGTTATCTTCACTGTGTAAATCTTTCTCATCTGCATCATCATCAATACCACAACTTTTCTCTTCTGTGGATTTCTTTTCCTCAGGTTGAATCAGAATCTCACTAGAAAAATCAAGATCATCACTACACAATTGGTCCTCTGGTTTAACAAATTCTTCAGTTTTCTCTTCTTTCCACACACCACTGTCATAAATCTCAACTTTGCTCTTATTAGAAAAAGTTTCTCCTTGAAACTGATTTTCACCCAACACCCTGTTTAATGATTTCTTTTCCTCAGGTTGAATCAGAATCTCACTGGAAAAATCAAGATCATCACTACAAGATTGGTCCTCTGTTTTAACAAATTCTTCAGTTTTCTCTTCTTTCCACACACCACTGTCAGAAATCTCAATTTTGCTACTATTTGCAACAGTTTCTCCTTGAAAATGATTTTCATCCAACACCCTGTTTAATGAAACAGTGTCTTCATCTCCTTCTAAGCACACACCCTTAGAATCAATATCTAATTGTTCAGTAATTGGACCGGTAGAACCCTTATCAGACACCTGGTTCTTAGAATCAACACCAGTCTGTTTCTTGCCATTAATAAATTCCTCGTAGGTGGGAAATCTGAATGTGAAACCATAATCAGTGTTTTCCTTCTCGCCAGTTATTTCTTCTTCAGATATTCTCACTGAATCCGTCTCCATTTCATCGCCGCCAAGAACAGACTCAGTCTGGGTTTCAGAGAACCCCAAGCTTTTCTCCGAAGAATAAGAAATACCCTTCCGCAGCCTGCATAACCAAAACATAAAAAGATCAAATTTTTAACAAAAAACTGGAATTCGGAATATTAAAGAAACATAACTGGAGTTGATTTGAGTATACCTGGAAAGGAACGAAGCGACGAGGACTAACAGAGGTTGCAAATACGATGAAACAGTGACCCATACCCGATAAACAGCGTCCATGTTCAGATAAGGGTGGAAAAAGGAGGAAAAAGAATGAGCAGTTCGGGTGGGCCGCCCATGGATTTCAACCCGCCCTCTGAAAGTTCGATACAGAGTAAACAACAACAGAGGAAGATAAGTTCATGGAAAACGCATGGCCAGTTTGAATGCGTCAAAAGTCAACAAAAAGGACAATCTATCTAAACAAATTTGCAGACCAAAGGGAAAAAACGGTATCTTTTTTAATTAAAAAAGAAAAGAACAGAAAAGAGTGGCCCAAAAAACTGACAGGATTTGCAGAGAGTTGAGAGTGGGGGAAGGAAGAAACCGACCTGTGTGGGAATTTGCAGAGGGTGGGGGTGGGGGTGGGGGTGGGTGTAGGGGGGAGTTTGTTCAAGAACAGATGATAGATTGGCCGTACCAGCAACTTGGAATGGCCGTATCTTTAGAACAGTCAATCAACAGAAACGAAGTGATGTGAGTGATGAAGACGAAGAGAGCTTCTTCAGGTACTAACATCTTTGACCTCGAGTCAGGCCTAGCCGCGTGGGTAAGCAGCAATGCGCTCATTAATAAGGGTTTAATGGTACACATTTATTCTTGGACTTTTTTAAGGCACATTTATTCTTAGACCGAAACTACGAACCATCTATTTCCCTTTTTCATATTAATTACTCCGTAAATTTATAAGAAGTAAAAATTATTTGCAAAAATGTACGATAGTATCTACATTCTATGATACTTTTCCTAAAATATTACTAATAAAAACTTTAATGAAAAAAATGTAACTATAAGTTATTGTGTGTAAGTTTTATAGTTAATAGACCATAACATTTAAATACAATTATAGTTACTAAAGTTAGCAGAGTCACATTTATATTCACTACTTTTATTTTGGTTATATACTCCGTATTTCAAATTATTTCATATTATATTTATCGTAAGTGTAGAGCATCTCAAATGCTACAATGTGCACGGTGCTCATGTACATGAGAGAGATGGACACACAAAAAAAATTATGACATTTCTCTCTCCGTCTTTCCACGGTCTTATGTGTTTTGGTAAGTTTTTTCAATAATGTCAACCACAATGTCTACGAGCCCGTTTGGTAACACTAAAGGTGGCTGAATTGGCTGATTCTACTGAAATTTATGAGATTCTGGATGAAGTGACTATATTGGCTTATTCTGCTGATTCATGAAAAAAAAAATATTTAAAATATTTGTTATTAATAAATTAAATAAAAAATTATATGAAAAATAGCTAAAATTATCCTCTACAGTTGATAGATTAAGGATGTTTTTACTTGGACTGTATTTCGTCCCAGACCAGACCAGACCAGACCAGATCAGACCAGACCAGACCAGACCAGACCAGACCAGACCAGACCAGACTTGGATAGTTATAAAAATACAAAGAAACCAGACCAGACCAGACCAGACCAGTACAGACCAGACCAGACCAGACCAGATCAATCTGACCAGATCAGACCAGACCAGCAAATTACAGTCAAAGTAAAAACATCCTAATTATCTAGAAAGAAGTGAGAGCTAGAGAGAGGTGCAATTAATACTGCAATAAATGAATTTTGTCAACCCCTACAACTACTCTCAAGTGGATTATTTATAGAGAAAATGTGGGCTGAGCTCCCAAGTCTTGGGCTTGGGAGGCCCGATTACAATGGGGCCTCTAATGGGCCGAATACAAAGTATGTAAATTGACTAAGTATGGAATCCAGTTCTGTGAGCTCTCTGTGGCCGATGGAGGTCTGGTTGACGGAGCCATGGCCGATGGAGACCCGGCCAACAGAGACACCCGGTTCTCCTGACTTCTGGATCATGTTCTGAGTTGACATATTTCTGGCCGATAGAGGGTCACCTGGCCGACGGAGGACCCACTGGGTGTCAGCTGTGCTTCTTATTCTTCTGAGTATGTGGGTCATGGGGTCTGAACCCATATACTTCATCAACAGTAACTTCAGTCAATCCAACCAGAAAAGTAACTCCAACCTTACTTTTTCTGCTTATTACAAAATTCAGCGCGTGAAATCAAAAATTATGTGTTTGATGAAAAAGCTGGCTGATAAGCTTGATAAGCCGAAAAAAGAGGTCACCAAACGAGATCTACATATAAACATTGTACTTGACATTATGGAGGAAAACTTACCAAAAATATATAAGATCGTTTTTTATTTGGTTATCGACTCATGTCGCATGTACAACATTCACGTTTTTGCATTATAGATGCTCTTAGTCATTTCTATAATGAAGTTTTAACTCAATAATATTTTGAAAAAATCGTCTCTTTTAGAAATAATTTATAATTTACATCATTTTCATTTTTAGTGGAACTATTTTTTTATTGATCAGTCATACAAGTCAACCCTGTTAATCGTACAGAACTTTTAATGAGCTGGAGTTTATGAAAAATGTTTTTTTCACTTATTCACACACACATAAATGCTCCTGTCCAACGGTTCGGACAGGAGCTGCCGTCGGAACGCCACCGTTTAGAACGGTTTCCGGTGGAATTTTTTGATGAAATGTTTTGAACATGTTCCTAATTTATCCACAAAAAAATTATCTCAAAATTCGATCGAGAAGACAGTCAAATAATTTTTTGAAGTTAACTGCGCCAAATTATACATAGAAAACACAGTCAACTTCAAAAACTTAATACACACACGTATATATACTTTCTTCAATGTTATTAATTATATACTCCGTAGAATATAAATATACCTTTTTCATAATTTTACAGGTTAGTTATGTCACACAATTTCAGTATTATGAAATACTCTTAACCTTCACGAAGATATAATATTGACAATTACATGAGCATAAATGGAGTATCATTTATTCATTTTCAAATTAGGAGTCTCTTTCAACTTATCAATCTTATCACCCAGTGTTGAATTGTGTAATAATCAAATAAGTAAGGCTGCAATCACTTTACTTCTGAAGTTACTGTATGTAGTTGATTATTTTGATTATTTTCATATAATTTATTCTTTATATTATTAATAAATGTATTTTAAATATATTCATGCCATGATGTAACCAATTCAGACGTCAAGTAATTTTTTTAATCTATTTTAATCAATTCAATCAATTTAGATATCACTTACTATACTTTAAGTTCTTTATTGTATGATTTTTTATGGTGGAGGTTTCTCATCGCAGTTTATGCAATTAATTAATTTTTTTAGTATCATTCCTAAATAATAAATTCTACTCTGTAATTATTAGCATTAATGAAATAAACATTACCAATTATTGCAGATGTAATGATTTTTTAGTCCTAAAATCAACATTGGGGTTTATTTGTGACAAATCAATTTGGGGTTATTTTTGGCATCTTTTCCGTCTTACCTATTCCACGTTGATTTTCTTCTGCTTTGGGAAAACGCAGATTCCTTCATACGATAATAAAAGATAATTTCGCAGGTAGTATGCATTTGACTTTTTTATTTAGAAAAATAAACATGAATTTTTACCTATTAAAAGATGGTGAACATAACCTCATTTTTTCCCTATTAAAAGATGGTGAACATAACCTCATTTTTTACTATTCTTATACGTAGTCAATTTTTTCCCTATTAAAATAATTCAATGTAGAAGGCAGTCAAATGATTTTCTGAAATATACTGAGCTGCCTAATTGCGCAGTTATCTTAGCAAATTTATTTGACTACCTTACCGATTGAATTTTTATATTAAATTTGGTATGAGTAAACTAGACTTAATAAAGAAGATGCTCAAAAAAATTCATCAAAAACTTCCACCGGAAACCGCTCTAAATGGCGACGGTCGGACAGAGCCTCTTATAAAAGGGCTTCTTTGCACTTTTTATGAAAGTTCGAGGGCTTATTCGATGATAATACGTTTAAATACGATTGATTGATAGCATAAAATAACTTGTAATAAAATACGGAGTATATATTCATACTCCTCCGTAATAATTTTGTAAAATTATTAAGTAATTTGTATTGTGTAATTAATACTAGGGATGGGTTCAGCTCTTGCGGTCCGGTTTTGATCTAAAACCAAATATAGAATCAAAGTAAACAGTTCGGTTCGATTTCGGTTCGGTTCTACTCCAAAACTTGGAACCACGGTTTAATTGGTTTGGTTTGTTTCGATTCGGTTTCGGTTTTTTCGGGTTTTTACCAAAAAATTATCATTTGATTTAAAATTGATATAATACTTTGAGGGATCAAACATATATTATATAAAGAATGCAAGCACACTACAACAAATAAAATAAAAATGAAAATAAATAAATATGTCATGAATTATATGAGTATGCGAGAGAGAGAAAAGTATATATTATTAATTTACATTGTTTGTGACTAGTTTAAAAAAAGTTCATGAGTATATACGTTATATGTGATATAGTTGAGATAAATATTTATTGTTTCATCAATACGAATTTTTAAGTTAAATAAAAATAAAAGTTAATTAATACTAATAACAAGTAAAAACATATTATCAGTATAGCTGCATTATTACATGCAATGAATGTGTAAATGAATTCACAAACTAAACTAAACATAACAAAAATTATTTCTCTAGCACAAGAAAACCAAAAACTATTAATGATATTAGGATTAGTTAGGATTAATGCTTAACAACGGACAAATAAATTTTACTCCGTATATTTTAACTAGTTCGGTTTGTTCGGTTCGGTTCAGTTTTGAAGGGTAAAAACCAAAATCGAACCAAACAACTACGGTTCGGTTCCGTTTTTTACATTCGGTTTCGGTTTGTTAGCGGTTCGGTTTTATTTGGCTACGATTCGGTATGATTTGATTCGATTTTCGGTTTTCGATTTTTCGGACCCAGCCATATTAATACGGAGTGTTAAAAATTAAAACCGGATCCGCTCCCGACCGCTAAAGTCACGTTATACGGGAGTATTAGCTAAGTCAATGACTTTACCAAACATTTAAAAGCATGTAACGGAAATACAGAGTACTATTTAAACCAATTAATATAGGTAGACAGCTTTTCCATGTTGCTTGCGTGAGAAATAATGTGCTCACAAATTCAAAGGTGAACCACTAAAGCTATTAACAGTTTATACTCTTTTTAGTGTTTGTCATTTTCAATTATTCATGTGCAAACCTAAGATACTTTCATTTTTATTTTTCTAAAATTTATTTCAAAATATTTGACATGTTTAACTTCTACATAGATAGCTGAATTTGGATATATCTCATAGTGTAATTTCTACATATCTATTCCGATCTGAAAAGTATTTCTGATTTAACTTGACACGCTTATTGAGAAAGTGAAAATACCGCTAAAATGTACAATCGTGATTCAGTTAGAAAAATATAAATAAATGTTAGTAATATAAATCATTCCATAAAAGAAAGTAGAAGAATTTTTATAACATCTCAGAAAAGTTAGTGAAGATAATTTCTTGGGATGAAAGTAATATCATTATATCACGTTAATGATAAATTCTAAATTCAATGTATTTATTTTGACTTTAACTAAACCTAGTAATTGAAATAGTACGTATACACTATTACAGAAATTATATATTGTATTTTAATACTCTGTAACGTCTTT